AAATTTTTTGTCCTTCAATTTTGGCTTTGACCAATGTCAAACTCCAGGAAACATGGACAGTGAAAACACTCTTATTCAAGAGAAATGAGAACTTTGATTAACTTTTAATCCTGAATTAGCGTTAATCGGCTTTCGAACAGCTGGGCCCCGGTTGTTAATTTTAGGATTTACGGTATTTGTGCTTTAAAACTCTCAACATCCCTAGGGTAAAATGTACCTTAGGGGCTACTCTTAAGGACATTTGAAGCCCATGTAGGTACTTATAGTGTATGTTTTATAAGAAAGACTCCAAGTTTATAATAATACTACCACTTCAGAGTAATCTGATTGAGTGTGAACACACTAAAATGTGTTAATATTTTGAATCTTCAGCATCTCTAGCGAGTGAAACTGCATTCACTGATTTCGGAAGACTTTCAAGTTTCTAATATACTTCAGGTAAGTTTTAAAAAGACTTTCTAGCTAGAAGTGTTTAAATTAGGAAACAAACTTGTGTTACTTAGCACTATATCGATTTCTCCCTGGGTGTTAATTAGTGGCCTGACACAAGAGCTTGTAAGTATAATCTAAGTGCACTTGGAACCTACCATTGACACTTTAAAAGACCATGTCACAGAATAATAGGTTACTTGCGTTATTTTCTCCCTTTGGGGGCGGCTATTTCATGCATTTCCTTAACAAAGTACCCTAAACGGCATTTACCTGTATGGTGCTATTTTCCATTCATATCACTCAGAGGTCAGTTGAAAGGGGTGGGAATTGAGTGGAACATTAGAAATGATTGATTGATTGATTTATCCATCCATTCATTCATTCATTCATTCATTCATTCATTCATTCATTCATTCATTCATTCATTCATTCAAATTTTATTTTCATAGACAACTTAAACCATCGCTTTTCATGTCATCCAACACCTGATGTTGTGGGTTTAAACCATTTTATTTCTTTGCACTCGAAAACTTTACCAAAAAACTGCATTGCTGCTGAGTACTTGTTAACAAAAAAATACTTATAAATTAGGCAAGTTTCTTGTAAGACTGAAACCCTTTGAGCTAAAAGGAAAGACAAATTAAATAGAAAACTACAAAAAAAAACTCTCTTCTATTGCAAAGTTCTCACTATTTCGCTGCCGAAAAATCGCATTTGTGATATGCATGGCTGATTTACTGCGAAAAAAAATTGACAGCTTGTGCTTCAAGTAATATACTTTGTCATAAGGTGTGAAGCCAAGTTTTCTGAAGTGCAATTACTTGAGGTTTTCAAGTGCACTCGAGTCAAGTGCTTACAGGAGCTACGTGCTTACTTGAAACTAACTTAGCTTCTAGTGTGAAGCCAACAAATACCACTGTAGTAGCTTGGGGCTGGCCATATACATTGGGTGAATTCAATCTGGGGTACAGTAATCGACATACTGATCATTGTATCCACATAATTTTATCAAGGCCTTAAAGTTTATCACACTGAGATGATTTGCAACTTGGGTGGGTCAGAGTCACACACTAAAATGTTTATCTGTTTTACTTTTAGAACCTGACCAACAAGTTCAACTGTCTTTACAGATTTTTGGGATAAAGGTGTCTTATAACTTATAGGTAAGTTTTAACGGTTTTTTTTTTTCACGAGTTTTTCTTCCTCGTAACTGCAGCTGGTAAACGTCACTGAAGGGACCAGAACCATAGTTAGAATTTATAAATTTTAATCAGGGTCAATATTTGGCAGATAGATAGATAGCCTTTATTTTAAAACGACGAGAGTTAAAGCCAAGAAGCTTGTGGGGTCGTTTGTACTAAAAACTGAAATATCCATAAACTACATTTATAACAAGAAATTATAAAAACTACAATGAAAATATATAAAAATCTTAAAATCTAAAATCAAATACATACAAACTCTTCAAATCTAGCTAACACTACAAGTTGACGAACATATCACCTTGAAAATTAAAGTCATTAAAGATGTCTGAAGATTTAAGTTTCCACGTAACGTCGCTGTATCGAGTCCTATTCACAAGGCTGTTATGTTCGTATGTTGCAGTATTCCACATGGCGGAACTCTGTTCGCTACAGAATCTTTCATCAGTGACAACTGAAGCAAAGAACTATCAAGAAGTCGCTTGCCCGACTTAAAAAACTTGAGACCCGTTTCTTAATGATATTATCACCTAAATTGTTAGGTAATCTATCATTTTATGCCTTATGTATACAGATAAATAGCAGATTTGTAATGAAAAAAGAGGGTAGACCATTGCGCTCTATCAGAAATTTCCAGCATATTTTGTGCCAGGTATATCTTTTTTTCGGTATGGCCTTTAGGCTTTAACTTCTAAGTATAATGAATATGTCATCTTTGATTTCAGCAGGTGCGTAGAGGGACACTAAAGTATCCTAAGTTGGCTTTCGTGCAGGAAAATGGTAAGTTGTCTGGAATTATGGAATTGTGTTGTCTCAGGGCAAAAATTAAAAAGCATGAATTAACCAAAAATAGAGTCAAGACTAAATTCCTTGCGCTGTGTAACCTGCTAACAAGCTGTACAGGAGATCGTATTATGTACGTCACACAGTTGACAGACTAGAAAGAGATTCTGAGGGAGAAGATTGAACTATGATATCTTTGAATGAATAGTTAAAATTTAAAATTGTCCAGGTAGCTAAACCTCCCAACCTGACGTGACAGCTTTCAGAGAGCTAAGAAGTGTGCCTGTGATCGATTATTTTATTATGTGAGAATAGTAAACTCCTTAGCTAATAATTATATTGATGTTACTTCTATGAGTTGTGTAAGAAAATAAAATCAATCATAAAACACATTTACTTTTAAAAAATATATAATGAATTGCAATTTCCATTTTTTAATTGATTTGCATATACTAATGAGAGGATCAAGTTAAAACAATATCACGTTGAAACAATATCAACACGAAAATAAAAGGGCTTTCTAACATGTCCTTTACACAGACACAGTGAAGGACCTTAATGTAAGCTTCACTACAGTGTATCTGGATAAACATGGCTGCTGCTGCACCTTCACCCCTGGCCAGCTCCGTAGAGAAGACAAATGGAGCCAAGCTGAGCAGACTTCTTATTGATGGTGGAACAACGGTTCTAAGGAATG